GATCCCACGTGTGTCAGAGCAGAACTGCAGTCCACTGGGTTTTCAATGGCTGAGTTTTCAGAAATCCATCACCAGACTTTTCTTCCAAGGAGCCACTGGGTGGACTAGAAGTTCCAACGTTTCTGCACCACGCAGGACTCCATTATATATTAGTATACACACACACACATATTAAATTACATTCCTTCTGTATCACAATGGCAGCTCCATGAGGGCAAGGATTTTGTCTGCTTGTTCATTGCTGTACCCTCAGCGCCTACAACAGTGCCTGGCATACAACAGGCGCTCACTAACCAGCCAATAAACAGTGTGTAGGAAAGAGAGGAAAGAAAGAGAATACAAATAAAGAAAACTTGGTCAGCTAGAACTCTCAACAACACGTACAAAATCCCGGGGCCCTCTCCAGCTCTCCCTTGCTCCTACTTAAGTTCCGCTGGGGAACTGCGTTCGTTCAGCGCCCTCGCACGGCGCCAGCACGGTCTCCCTAACGCTGGGTCCACCCAGTGCCCGATCAAGGGCCCTGGAGCGCGCTCCCGCTAATGAGCGTTGCTATCTCCCCTGCGTGCGCCCCCGCGGAGCTCCGTCCAGACCCCGCACCCGGTGAGTGTAACGGGACGAGAGCAAGCTGCGCCTGCGCACTCCAAGCCGGCCCCGGTAGGACCTCGGTCGGGGACTCGACGGGGAGCCGCAGCCCCAACGGGCTAAGAGGACTCGGCTTGGTCATGGCTGGAGTTTGGAGGCCGTGGTGGGGGAGGCGGCAGGAACAGCTCCAAACTAAAGAGGAGTCCTCTGGACCCAGAACTAACAGCCCGGGCCGGCGTTCTCGGCGACCAGTCCCAGGATGCTCTGCGTTGCGCCCGGCCCCGGACTACATTTCCCAGCGGCCCCCGCGGCCCGGCCCGGCTGCCAGCCCAAGCGCCGCGGCCTCTTTGTGAGTTGGCTGTGGAGTCGAGTCCTAGCCCCGGCTCGCCCGCGGGGGCGCTCGGCTCCCGGCCTCCGCGGACCGCCCGGAGCCGGTGCCGACTCGGAGGGAGGCGGCGGTGAGGAGTCTGGGAGCGCGCGCGCGCGCCTGGGCAGGATCGCCGGGCTGGAGCGGGCGCCGGGAGCAGCCGCGCCCCCGTGTGTGAGGGCGACCTGTGACAGCGTGTGTGACCGCGTGAGACACTGTGTGTGAGCACTGTGGCTGTGTACTGTGTGACCATGTTGGATTGTGAACAGCGTTACCGGGTGTGACTGTGAGGGGCTGAGTGTGAATAGTAGGACCAGTTACAACTGTGACCATGAGACTGTCAGACTGTGAGGGACTTGTGTGAATAGTGTGACCATGTGAGAATAGTGTGACTGTGAATATTGAGAACTGTGAACAGTGTAACTATGACAGACTGTCAGACTGTGGGGGACTGAGTGTGAAGAGTGTGACCATGTTAGAATAGTGTGACTAAATAGTGAGAACTGTGAACAGTGTAACTGAGAGACTGTCAGACTGTGGGGGACTAAGTGTGAATAGTGTGACTGTGAGAATAGTGTGACTGAATAGTGAGAGACTGTGAACAGTGTAACTGAGAGACTGTCAGACTGTGGGGGACTGAGTGTGAAGAGTGTGACCATGTTAGAATAGTGTGACTGAATAGTGAGAACTGTGAACAGTGCAACCATGAGAGACTGTCAGACTGTGGGGGACTGTGATAGTTGGAGCTGTGTGTCAGCTTGGCTGGACCCCAATTCTGTGTGGTTTAAGAAGTTGTGATGTGGGTTATTCCCATGATAGGATCGGATGTATATGTTTTGAGCAGCCAATCCATTGAAATGGAGTTTCCCTAGGGGTGTGGGCTACTTCTAATATATTTATGGACATCCTGGGAGAAGAGACACTCTTTTGTGGATCGGGCTCCTGTTGTGCTGCCTACAGCTGTCCGTGAGTGAACAATCCGCCATTCAGCTGGGATTTGTTGGAGTCAGCAGCTGGTATACTGCCTACCAACCTTGAGTTCATCAGCCCCTGCAGCTGCATGAATCAGGAAAAGCCTCCAGCTTGACATTTGATCCAAGAACTGGGGACTTGCCAGCTTCTTTAAGTGTGTGAGCCATTTTCCTAAGATAAATTTCTCTTTCTCTATATGTACATATAAGCTTTACTGGTTTTGCTTCTCTAGAGAACCCAGTCTAACACAGGGATTAAGTGTGAATAACTGTGTGAGAACAGTGTGACTGTGAATAGTGAGAAACTCTGAATAGTGTAACCAGGAGAGACTGTCAGACTGTGAGGGACTGAGTGTGAATAGTATGACCATATGAGAATAGTGTGACTGTGAATAGTGAGAGACTGTGAACAGTGCAACCAAAAGAGACTGTCAGACCATCAGGGACTGAGTGTGAATAGTGTCACTGTGTGAGAATAGTGTGATTGTGACTAGTGAGACACTTTGAACAGTAAATTGTGAGAGACTCACACTGTGGGGGACTGAGTGTGAATAGTGTGACTGTGAATAGTGAGAGATTGTGAATAGTGCAACCATGAGAGACTGTCAGACTGTGGAGGACTGAGTGTGAATATTGTGACTGAGAATAGTGTGACTGAATAGTGAGAATGGTGAGAGACTGTGTAAACGGTATGACTGTGAATAGTGTGCTATGAGGAATTGTGTAAACAGTGTGGGTGTGTGCCACTGTGACTGTGAAAGACTTGAGTGTGAACAGTGTGACCATGTGAGACTGTGAACAGGGTGGCTGTGTACTGTGTGACTATGACGGATTGTGAACAGTATGACCAGGTGTGACTTTGTGATCATGAGGGACTGAATATGAATCGTATGATAGTGTGAGACTGCCTGAACAATGACTGTGTGTGACTGTGACCGTGAGGGACTGTGAACAGTATAACCATGGGAGACCTTTTTAGACTGTGAGGGATGGAGTGTGACTAGTGTGACTGTGAATAGTGTGAACAGTGACAGACTATGTGAATAGTGTGACTGTGTGTGAGTAGTGTGCTCATGAGGGACTGTGTGAACAGTGTGGTGTGTGTCACTGTGTGACTGTGAAAGAGTGTGTGAACAGTGTGACCATGAGGGACTGAGTATGAATGGTGTGACCATGAGAGACTGTGTGAACACTACAGTGGTGTGTGAATAAAACCAAACTCACTGCTATCAAGTCAATTCTGACTCACAGCATCCCCCGTTGGGTTTCCACTTTTCGGAAATAGATCGCCCCATTTTCCTTCTGCAGAGTGACTGATGGGTTTGAACCACCTACCTTCTGGTTAGCAGTTAAATGTGTTAGGTGCTGTACCACCAGAGCTCCTGGAATAGTGTAATAGTAAGGGACTTTGTGAACAGTGTGGGTGTGTGTGACTGACCATATCAGATAGTGTGTGAGTACGGTGACCATAATGGACCATGAGTGAATAGTGTGGGTGTGTGTGACTGTGTGTCAATAATGTAACCATGAGGGACTCAGTGAGAATAGTATGATCGGGAGAGACCACAAGGGAACAGTGTGTGTGTGACTGTGAGACTGTGAAGTTTGACTGTGAGGGAGTCTGTGTGAATAATATGACTGTGAGAGATTGTGTGAAGAGTATGATCATGAGGGAGTGTATGTGACTGTATGTGAATAGTGACCATGTGTGAATAGTATGAGACTGAACAGTGTGACTGTGAGAGACTGTGTGAATACTGTGACTGTGTGAGACCGTTTTTGGATAGTGTGTGGCTGTGTGAGACTGTGTGACAGTATGTGATGGTGAATGGTACTTGTGTGAGACCATTTGAACAGTGTGTGACCATGTATGTGGCTGTGTGAGACTGTTTGTGAGACCATGTATGACTCAGATTGAGTGTATTACTATTTGAGTTTGATGGTAAGTGGGACTGTGTGTGAACAGTATGTGTGTCTGTGTGAGTCTGTGGACATGTGAGATAATGTGACAGTGTTTGAGAGTGTGTATGACAATATGTGATGGTGAGTGAAAGTGTATGTAAGACTGCAAACAGTGTCATTGTGTGAGACTGTATGTCACACTGAAATTGTGTGTCACAGTGTGTGATGGAGTGATTGGTCTTAAAGACTTGAGAATGTGTGACTGGGTCTGTGACCATGTGAAACTGTGAGACTGTGTGACCTTAGGTTAGTATGTGACAGTGTGTGTCACTGTGGGTTCTTGTGACAGTGTGACCTTAGGTTTGTATGTGACAGTGTGTGTCACTGTGGGTCCTTGTGACAGTGAGTGTTACATTGTGACCCAGGGTGGCCATCTGTGACCAGTGTTTGGGGAAGCATGTGCTACAGTGCAGGGGTGTGTCCACAAGCTGCCACGGGAACCATCAGTCTGGGCTTTGTGTGGTTTGTATGTCTGTGTTTGGGTGGTGGGTGGGAGGCTGTGTGGGTACCCTGGGAGGCCGTGTGCACCAGAGTTTGGGGAAAGAGACTGAGATGGGGGAGAGAACTGGAGAGGGAGAGGCTGAGAGAAGAGCCCAGCCTTGGGCCTGGAGAGCAGAGCAGGCTGCTGGGCCTCACCTCTGGCACAGGAGGCCATCTCTCTGTTCTTCATCTGGTCTGAGGGGTGAGGGATTGAGGACAAGGTCGAGAAGACCTCCCACACTTCAGGGGCTTTGCTTTCTTTATGTGGCCATGCTGAGGTTTGCATCTGGGTCTGTAAGACTCTATGACACAGTATGGCCATCTTTGGGAAAAATTATTCATGAGAAGAAATGACTGATGTTTTATGAACACAGAGGTGTGCCTGAGTCCGTGCTGAACGCTTTCCGTGGATCATCTCAATCCTCTCCAAAGTCAGTAGGCGTAGGCACCACATTATTGACAGGAAACAAGCCTGGAGTAGTTCAGCGGCAGGCCGCAGAGCCCACGTGGAGGATCAGGTGTTCGAGCGCGGGTGTTGTGATCTCTGACCCTGGCGGTTCTTCCCACTTGGCTGCTTGTGAGGCAGTAGGTTTACTTTCCGGCAGTAAGGAATGTTGGAAAAGAGCTGACTAAGCGGTGACCGTTCAGGCAGTGTTTCTGTCTTCTTTCTCTCTGAGCAAACTGCTTAGGAAAAAGTCAGGAGGTTGGTTTTCAGGCATGGTTTGTCATAAGCCAGCAGCAGAAGCAGGGAGTCCTGACTGTCATTTGGTCCAGTGTCCTCCAGGCCACCTGCCCCTCGGATGCCTACTCTGTGTACCTTTCCACCTTCTGGATTTCTCTCTCATCCTTTAGAAAGGGTGGGGACATACTCCCCTTCAACACCACCCTCTAGAGGAGGGGCTGAGAAGCCCAAGCTGGACCCCACTTTGGCTCAGTTAACCTCCACAGAACTTTAGATTCTTTGCCTAGGGGAAGCCCTCATGCGTGAAGAGGGGAAGTACCTTGGCAGAGCCATTCTGCAGAGTAAGCGGTTACTGTGTATAATCATAAATGAGGTGATTTGTGCGCAGAACATACTCCACCTTGGAGTTCCAAAGCACAGAGGAAGGAGACTGGCACATGTAGTTATGAATGAGTGCCTCAGTGACACCCCATGTGTACTTCTGTGGTGAACAGGAGGAGGGAGAAGGAAAGAAAAGGCAATGGGGTTGTCTCAGGGGATGATGCTGGGAGCTCAGGGTACGGCTGGCACCTTACACTCTCTTTCACCCTCTCCAGCTCCACCTTCTCAGGACGCTGCCTTCTCCAAAGGAGGAGCCTTAGGGGAAGGACAGAAGAGCTGTCACACATTCTGGCATTCTCAAAGTCATGTCCAAGGTAAGGGAGCGTCTCATTTTTCTGCCCTGAAATGCCATTGTGTTTGTGGACTATAATGAAGTGCTGTTTGTCCCACAACCTGATCCGCATTTCCTCCTCTCCAGTAAAAAGAAGGTCCCCAAAAGCCCAGTGGGTGCCCCCCTCCCCTGCATTTTCATCTTCATTCAGGAAATGGTTCAGCACCTCTCACAGACTGAGAGGACTCTGACGGACTCTGTCAGGAAACAACGAGAGGCGGAATTCGACGCCATGGTGAAATAGAGAGGCTTCTCTTCCACGGGGACTTGATTGGCTGACATGGAGGTGAATGAGCAGATGTAGGCTACAGCTTTCCAAGGCCTGGGTCTGTGAGGAGGCCGAGCCGGGAGGGCTGTGCGGTGGTCTTCTCCATGGAGCCCAGCACTGGCTCCTGGTCCC